TTTAACCTGTTATCATTATTGAATTTGAATAAGGGTAATTCTTCTTCCGTGATTCATCCACATAAACGCTTTCACTTGCTTCCAAAGTCTGCGAATTAAGGAGTCCATGATTTGCATTTCCCCCACAATTCCATGTTGTCCATTGCACCTATCACAACACTTGCATAATCGAATTCACAGCGATTATGGTTAACATGTCAATTTCCTATCCCATAGTATCTACCTTGGCATGGAGTGCTGTAATGGCTCATTTCATAGGACTCCTGCGTTCTTCTTCCTTCGTATGTTTTGGTAATGGCTTGTTGCTTTGCCATCTCCTATCAACTCATATGCTCATCAATACCTTCTTTCAAAGGATTCCCACCTGCAGTTGCAGCTGCATCTAAAGTGATTTTGATATTAGGAGATAATGCATTATAAAAAGTTTGTACCTGTAACCACTTAGGTAAACTGTGATGGGGGCACTTTCTCAACAAGTCCTTGAATCTTTCCCAAGCTTTATACAAGCTCTCTTGATCATGATGAGCAAATGTCATTATCTCATTGCGCAACCTTGTGGTTTTTGAGGATGGGAAGAATTTTGCTAAGAACTTTTGGGCTAATTCGTCCCATGTTGTGAAACTTCCAGCGGGACATGACTGTAACCAGGATCGTGCTTTATCCCTAAGAGTGAAAGGGAAAAGTCTTAATTTAATATCTTCAGAAACACCATTTTGTTTTGAGATGTGTTCACAAATTTTCCAAAAAAATGTGACTACACATGTGAGCATTAGGATCTTCACTAGGCCAAACCTCCATATTGGATCGAGGGTTAGAGAGCATTTGGATATAGCAAAGTCAAATTCACTGTAGAAAATTTTATTATTCACAGTCCGGGAAAACTTGCTTTTTGAGCCTCAAAATTTGAGTATTCACAGGATGTTGAAGTGGTGGTCCAACTATGTTCTCATTTCTGTTTTTGTTTTCGTCGGCCATGTCTGCCTGTTGTTCGATTTTTATTTCTTGTGTTTTTCTTGCAGCGTTGAGCCTTCGAAGAGTCCGTTCAATTTCCGGATCAAAGATTAGAGGTTCAGTCCTCCTTGATCTCCTTTGTATAAAACAACCTGGAACAGTACTTAAAAGAAAATTAAATAAAAACGAAAGAGTGTCTAAATTAATAACAGGGTAATTCGTATTGATATTGATAGTATTGATATTGATACGCCAATCCCCGACAACGGCGCTAAAAACTTGACAGCGTTTTTTCGCAAGTGTACGAAATCGCAACAAGTAATATAGAGTAAGGGAGTACCGTATCCACAGGGATTGTTTATCAATTATCAAAATTATGTTAACCTATTATTATTTAGACAATGATAAGAAAGATTCGCTGTAAAGTAAATAAAATTTAAAGTAAAAATAGAAGAGATCAAACACAAAATTCAGGTGAAAAGAAATCAGAGGATTAAGCTACTAGGTAATTGATTTCATTTAAGATTTGCGTATGCATTATTCTATTAGTTCCATTAATCAAGTTTTAATTGTTCAAGTAGAGAAAAACCAACCCTAAGGTAACTAACAAAAAGTCTCCCGATTTATTGTTAGCTATTCTAATCCAATTTTAATCACCTATCTTAATAAGTGAAAATTAACATGAATCAGATCATTTACGGTTTATGGTTGTTTTATATAATCACCAAACTAATGACTTTATTAACTTATGAAAGCCCCCTTGAGTTCAAAACCATATAGTTTCCACATTAAAGTTATTATTCTCAAGGTTTAAATTATTACCTTGTTCATATCGAATAACCCTTCTCCCGAATGTGATTATTGAAAAAAATTCAATCCAGGAAGAATTTTTCTGCTTGGAGCTTTAAGCACAATAATAAGTCTATAACCAAGAACCAAAAGAAAAATAAATCTAATTATTATAAGCTATGGATCGAATTAAATTACATCAAATCCCTAGTATAAAAGTTTAGCTAGACATAGTAATTAAAATTAAGCTCAATCATACTTGAATCATTCATTATATTTAAAGACAATAATTAAAGAAAGAAACAAGATGAAGAGGTTTAAGAATTAGAATAAAAACTATATCACAACTATGTTGATGGCTTCCTTGAATCTTAGCACAATTATTTGAAGCTTGAAATCTTTGAGAAGAAGAGAATTATGTAAAGGAGTGTACAAAAAACCAGATCCTTTGCTATGAGAAGTTCCTTTCTTTATATAGAGGTCCTGAAGGCAAGTCTGACTCCTTTTAGGAAATAGAATCCTTATTTAGTAAAAAATCCTTTATAGGAGATCATAACTGTTTAGGCTCTTGATTTCTTCTTGATTAGGACTCCTTTTTCTTCAAGAATAGGTCCAGGTCTTATTTAGTGTGTTGTTTAGGAAACTCCCTGAAGTCGGCCAAGTCGGCCCATGTGAGAAAGGCTTGATTTGCGTGTTAAATTCACGCTGGTTCCGCCTGGGCAGCACGGGCGTGCTTCATGGCACGGGTTGGGCATGCTGTAGTTTGGAGGTCTGGCTAGTGAAGCACAGGGCGTGCTAGGTAGCACGGGCTAGTGAAGTACTGAGGCACGGGCGTGCTACAGAGCACAGGCAGGGCGTGCTCCTCTCTAGAAGTCTATCTAGAGTTGCCATGGGCGTGCTATGCTTGACACGCCCTGGTCCCATTGTAGCACGACCGTGCCTTTTGACACACCCTGGCCGTGCTCCTCTCTTCTGTCTTCTCCTTTTGGTTTTACTTGGCTTCTAGACACAGCTGGGCGTGCTAGAAGCTGAGTGCCTTGCACTAAAGTTCTTTTCTGCGCCAAATTTCTTGCCAAATTTTCTCTTAGATCACAGTGGATTAAAGACCAGGAAGCTTCTTAAAGCACCAATTATTACTAAAAGTGATTTAAAATAAATTAAAGAAAAGTAAAACTTACTAAAATTCTAATAAAAAACTATATTAGGAAAACACTATAAAATTTACCACTAATCAATATAAAGATTAGTTACGAAGCAAAAAGCAATGCGAAAGTCACAAGTAAAAAGAAAAAAAGGCTTTCGAGCTGTATTTCTATATTAGAAACACTATAAAATTTACACTAATCAATTATAAAATTAGTTACGAAGCAAAAGCAATGGCGAAAGTCCAAGTAAAAAAGAAAAAAAGGCTTTCGAGTGTATTTTCAGGATTGAGTTAAATTTTAAAAGAATTGTTTAGTTTGACGGGATTAAAAAATTTGTTATGATTTCTAAAAATTTTACATGAATTAATTCAAAATTAATAAATAATTAATATATTATTTTACACCTTAAGGATAAGGATGGAAGTGGTATGGATATTTCAGGATACCGCTTCGCTTAATATATATAGTTATAAATATGTTTGGATCGGATATAAATAGGAAAATTACTATCCATAATGGATACGGATAAGGTACGGGTTTAGATACTTGGATATTCGCTACCTATTAACCCTATATTAAACTAGTTCGGTAATGGGTATCTGCGAGTATTTTATCCATTATTAATAAAAAATATATTTTAAATAAATTTGAATTTGGATGGTCAAGATTTATGGTTACTCTACCTATTTTAAATGGGTGCTTAAATGAGTATTTAAATGGGTTTAACGGATACGAGTATTAAAATTTAAACGGATACTTATACAGGTAGTTTAAAATTCGCGGTATCCACCTGTTTCCATGCTTATTTAAGAGATGTATTGGATTAAGACTCCATTAGATTTTAAAAGGTTTTTGAAATTTTTGGATTAGATAATGGATTTGTGAATGACTCTTTTATTCATACTTAACACTCTAAAATCTAATGAAATCACTAATGTTATAAAATCTTTCCAAATTAGCACTCTAAAATCTAATGAAATCAATAATTTTATAAAATTCTTTCAAATTAGCAACTTTTTTAAGTATCACCAAATTTGTATGGACTTTTAAAAGGTCATAATTTACTATCATCAAATTTTTATGGATTTTATAAGATTCTAAATTGAATACCACAAAATTTTAATAGATTCCAAAAAAATCTAAATAGAATACCATTGAAATTTTAAAAAATTTTTTAAAATCTAACAGACTATTAATTTAATATACCCATTAAAAAAACATATTATAAATTGAACATTTGAAATTATTGTATTATAATATTAATTAATTATAAAATTAGTTACGAACCAAAAACAATGGGAAAAAGTCAAGAAAAAAAGAAAAAGAAAAAGAAAGACTTAGAAAAAGCGTATCAAACCCTGTATATATTGAACATTTGCACCCATCAGCGACTTTATTCTGAAACCAAAATCAAGTAGGAAAAGAAAAATTAGCTAAAAAATGGTCAATCCGTTTCCAGAAAGAGTGGATGAATTGTGGAATCACTGGAATATAATAGCAGGTACTATATTGAGCCTGCTATTGCAAACCTTTCTCATACCATTTGCTTCTTTTAGAAAACGCACTTCATCGAAGCTCATGACCATCACAATATGGTTTGCTTATTTACCGGCTGACGCAACCGCCAATTTCACCATAGGATTAATCTCCAGCAGCCAAACGAGCTTAAACAACAGTGATCTATAGGGTTTCTGGGCTCCTTTCCTTTTACTTCATCTCTGTGGACCCGACACCATAACTGCATTCTCTCTAGAAGATAATGAGCTTTGACTTAGGCATTTGCTTGCTTTCATTTTCCAAGCATTAGCCACAGATTACGTTTTTGTCCAAACACTTCCAGAAAATAAGGTAATGATTCCAACACTTCTACTGTTTATTGCTGGGATTATTAAATATTTGGAACGCACTGGTTCTTTGTATCTTTCCTGTATGGATAGATTTCGAAGCTCTTTGTCTGATGCCGAAGTGAATTGATTAACTTTAAAGGTTTCTTCAGAAAATCAGTTAGAAGCGGCGCAAAATGCTTATCTTTTGTATGAATATTCGAAGCCAATAATTTTTGATTTGCAGGTAGCTGTTCAGTTAGTACGCATAACCCGATATTCCTTTAGGGAAATGTCTGAAGAAGATGCTTTAAGAGTAATTGGGATCGAGCTTAATTTCTTTTATGATGTTTTGTTTACGAAGGCACTTGTTATGAAGTCTAAATGGGGATATTTCCGTTATATTTCCTTTACTTCAGTTGTTTCGGCTCTTGCAGTATTTCATTTTAATGTTAATAAGGATAATTTCAATAGCTTTGATGTTGATTTAACGTATGCTTTACTATTTGGTGCTATTGGGTTGGATTTAATAGCAATCTTCATGACTATTTTCTCTGATTGGAGAGCAGTTCATCTTAGATCATCATATCATGACTCGAGATCTCTCACTGCTTTATTCAATGATCTGAGGTTCAGGATTTTCCGCAAATTGCTTAATATCAAGAGGCAGCAGTGGTGTTCAATAATTTTTCGCAGGTCGTCTAACAGGGTTTCCTGTCATAATTTGATAAGATATGGCCTGCAAGGGAGTCCAACGAGAATCCATGTCAGCAATAACCATCGCTTATGTGGCAATTTTATCCAAAGAATGTTTCAATTTTCATATATTGATAAAGTCATAGTTTTCGTCGGCCTTAAGGATTTCGTAGATGAGATAGTATATGTTTCGAGTGAGCCACTTACTAAGGAGCTTTGGAAATTCATTTTCAATGAGGTGAAAAGGAAAGAAGCTTCTGAACAGATACGTTCGGCTAGAGGAGAATTGATTATCAGACATGATCTCGGAGACGAGGACCATAGCTTAATGTATTATGTTAAAGATGTTGCTTTTGATCGAAGCATTTTGTTATGGCACATTGCTACGGAGGTCTTGTATAATACGGATGATGATGAGAATAATTCAAATCCAAAAAGTGATGGGCATAAGGAATTTAGTAAGATCTTATCAGATTATTTATTCTATCTTTTGACTATGAAACCTAGTTTGATGGCGGTCGCGGTGGGTGTTAATGAAATAAGCATTCAAGAAGTTTATGCTGAGGTTGAAAAATTATGTAAAACCAAAGAGTTGAGATGGAATGAATTAAAGAAAGCGTGTGAATGCCTTCTTGATTTTCAGGGATATAGAGAGGTCCATAGTAAAAATTGGAACTCTGTTGGCCGAAGAGCTCACGGAGTTGGAGCACAAGAAATGGGAATTAGTAAGTAAGGTGTGGATGGAAATGTTGTGTTATGCTGCTTGTCATTGTAGGCCAACTAACCATTTACAACAATTAACTAAAGGTGGAGAGCTTATTACTTTTGTTTGGATATTGTTTGATCATTTTGGACTTATTGTTCCAACATCAGAATTTGTGTAAGTTTTTGCTTTTATGCTTAAATATTGATAAGCTTGCCAAAAGATTTTCTTTTTGGTACATTAATTGACAAGAAAATATAGTTAGAGCAACATGGAGTTTATTAATTCTTTTCAATCATGTCCATAAATTTTGTGATTTATCCAACAAGCATTTTTATTTTAGAGATTAATCATGCAATTTGTCGCTAGCTAGGTAGGGAAACATCGGTCGCTATAATATTTAAATCACTCGCTATGTTGGACTTCATATGAACCCTGAAATCTGTCCATAATTCAACTATGATTTCGTCACTATGTCTATTTAATAACTATAACTTCGGTCGTTGTTCCGTTATTAATCTGTCGCTAAATCATATTTTTTAAAAAAATTAAAATTTTGGAAAGCAAAAAATTTTCACCTATTAAAAAATGCATATATATATATATATTGTTTTGTACAGTGATCCTTTTATTGTTTTGTTGGTATCAGAGCCAATACGGTTTAATACTGCTATTATCTTTATAATAGGTATTCATTTTCTGGATATCATAGATAGTTTTGGATATGCCTACTGAACCCGTTTATAGCCGTGTGTTGAAAGGCTGAGTAAGGGTATAACCAGGCAGTGGCCGCGACTTGTTGATATCATAAAATGGAAAGGCTTGAGTTAAGGGTATAAACAGGCAGTTGGCGCCGCGACTTTGTTGTATCATAAAATTTGGATTCCTTTATTATGTAGATCTTAATAAGAGTAGTGTTAAATCTGATGATTCTGAATCTTTCAGAAATTAAAAGGGTCATACATCGCAAGAATTAATTTTACCAAGATTTTACTAAAAGCCATTGAATGAATGAGGCAATTCCTAAAAGTTGATAAAGAACCAAATTTATAAAGTTTTCCTTAAATTTAATTTATTTAAAACCGAATTATGTAACTAAAAACTGAAGAAAGGAGATTTTCAAATTAAGTAAAACCTTTGAAAGAATAAACTCTTTTGTCTTCTAAAACATACAATATCATAAAGTAAAAAATACAAATAGTATGTCATTATAGGGTTTAATACAAGTTAGGGAATAAAAAACCTTAACTAGAGAAGGAAAACACTAGTATCTTGCAGACTAGTATTCTTGCAGTGGTAAGAGATGCTAGATTCTTAAACTTTCAAGATTCTTTATTAGGATCTGTTGAAACTAGTCTTAGTGAAGGACCTATTTCTTTTGAAGTATACCCAGATATGACAGTTTCTTTAAATGATTTCAATATTTTAAAAAGTATAGTTTTAGAAATTAAAACACATAATTATAAAATGAAGCAGGGATCCATTCCTATCGCTTTAATTTATAAAATTCATTATAAAGCAATGAATTCAGCTTTTGGTACTAAATATAAATTACAACTTAAAATTGGGGAAACCAGATTTCTTCAAACCGATTTAACTAAAACAAATACAGTAATTCCTAAAACCATTCAATGGAAAGATATAACACTCCCAGATGAATGGATTTTGGAAGTAATATCCTAAACCAATTACAAATGACAAGAGACATAAAAGATATAACACTCCAGATGAATGGATTTTTGGAAGGAGTTGTACCTTCACTCCAGTCACAAGAAAAAGGTAAACAACATAAATTTTAGATTACAAAAATTGAACAATATTGAAGATGGAGTTAAAAGTTAATTAAAATTTATAGAACGTCACAGTATGGACGGTTAATACCAGGGTCATCTTCCTCCTGTAACTACAGATCGAAAAAAATGATAAAACACACTTCCATCTATGCCTTCTATAATTTATCGCTAAGTATAAAAGAAAACGGAGCCGTAAAACCATCATCTCCAACATTAGTAAACAAAGGTATTCCACTCTCGGAATATCTCGGCCACACCGAAAATTTCAACCAATATCAACAATCTCACTTAAACCTGAAGCCGATAGAATCTCGTACTATATAGATATATATATTCGCACGGAAACAGTTTTATAATCTGTTGATAATTAACTTAAACCAACAACTCCAATATTGGTAATTTCAATTCCAAATCACAACAGCTTCGCTATAACTGAAAAATGATTCAGTGTAAAGAGAATATAATATATACTTAAGATAAAGATAATATTGAAAAAAGTATTAATAAAAGAAATATCTAAAACAAAATAATTTAATCAAAATGCAAAAAGATTTAAAACATATACTTTTGAAAGAATTAAAATATGAATAATTTAGCATATAAATTAAATACCAACACTGAAAATTAAATTCTTTGATTGTATAATTAATTAAAGAATAATACACTCGACTAAGTTATTAATCGCAATAACTATTCGAGAATAAAACGACCATAAAAGTTTAAATCCAATAACTATTCGAGATAAACGACCAGAATGGATAGTAAATGAACGAACCATAAAAAGTGATTTTCCTCCTAAAACAATTAGCAAATTAAAATACCAAGATAATGAAATTGTATGTGCTCCATATAAAATTGCTCAAGAACAGGATGCAAATAAAAAAGTAATTGAACAAAATAATTTTAGTAATGCTAGTCTCATTTGTTTAAACACTCAATTAAAAAGAATTGAAAATTTATTAGAAGATAAACCAATTGCAAATGAACATGTAAAAGGTAAAGATAAGATTAAAACTCATATTTTTAAACCTTTTCAAATTTCACAGTCCAGTCACAAGGAATTTGTAAACAAATTAAAGGATCAGTTAAGTAAACTTGAAGTTCAGTCTGAGACAACTCAACAAGTAGCTCCAGACACTCCTCAAGCATCAAGAAATATAAACATTTTAGAAGAACACACTAATTCTGAGGTTAGCGATCCTGACTCAGAAGATGTTACAAAATTTGCAGTAAATCCTATAACCCATAGAGAAATAGTCAATAGGACCCCAGACCTAGGCATAATTAATAAACCTAATATTATATCTCAATTTAAATATAATGCAACAACTATATATGAATGGAATATAGATGGACTTTCTGAATATAATATATTGAGTATTCTTATATTGAGTATTCTACAGCAGATGACTATGGCTGCTAATGCATATAAAACTCAATCGATTATTTCAGATAGGGCTATCGCAGAAATAATTATAGCTGGCTTTACGGGTCAATTAAAAAGTTGGTGGGATTATCATTTAACTGACCAACAACATTTAGAAATATTAAATTCAATTCAAGTAAATGATGAAGGTGACCCTATATATGATGAGAATGGTGAAGTAATTCAGGATGCTGTGTCATCTTTAATTCTCACTATTTCTTTACATTTTATAGGAGATCCGTCTCACTTATAATAGTGATCCGTGCATCACTTTAAAAGATAAACAATGCAGAAATTATTTGTAATCTTAAATGTAGAAAACAAGTTTGATTTACCAAAATTATTAGAAAAAATTTCCTCATCGATTTAATGGCCTAAGAGAAGATTTCCAATCAAGGCTTTTTCGGCAAAGAAAAGTTCTTGGCTGGATTACCTTATTTTTTGGGTGAAACAAGTTAGAAAATTATTAATTCAAACTCAACAATATGCAATATGGTCAACCTATACCTTATAGTAAACTAACTTATGGACAACTAATTAGTATAATACAAAAAGAAGGTCTACAAATCTGTCAAGATTTAAAACTTCAGAGAACATTAAAATATGAAATGCATAAAACAAAACAAGAACTAGGATCATTTTGTAAACAATTTGATTATGGCATAACACCTACTCAAAGATGTGATGGCCAGTGTTCTAGAACCTCTAAATCTAAAAAACATTATAAAAATAGAGATTATAAAAGGCAATATAGGTCTACACCCAGTAAAGATAAATTTTATCATAAAGAAAAATCTAAACCCAATAAGAAAAATAAAAGAAAGCAACCATATAAATCGTCCAGTAAAATTTCTTTTAAAGATTTAACTTGTTATAATTGTGGTAAAAAAAGTCATACTTCTAAATTTTGTAGATTCAATAAAAAATTAAATGAATTAAATTTAGATGAGGAAGTATTGCATAAAATTCATGAACTATATCTTGATTCTGATACTTCAGAATCTGAGATTCTAGAAAGTAACAATCAAATTGATGAACTGAATTCAACAACCAGTTCATCTGAAAAATCTTTAAATGTGTTAACTAAAGATCAAAGTACTTTATTAAAATAATCAATAATTTAGAAGATTAAGATACTAAAGCTAAACTTCTCAAAAAACTCATAAAAAGTTTTGAAGAAGAAAAAACAGACATAACTCCTAAAATTCAACCTAATACTTATGATTTAACATTCAACCTAATACTTATGATTTAACAACTATTTTGAATAAAAATAAAAATCAAAAGATAGACATAGAGAATTCTAATAAAGATTTATATAAAGAAATTAAAACTTTGAAACATGAAGTAAATGAATTAAAAATGCAATTCCAACAAAATACTAAACGAATAAAACATTTAGAGTCTCAACTCATTTCTAGTTCTTCATCTGAGGAAGAACCAGACCATGACATAAACGATGAAATAAACCAATTAGATGAAGACATAGATAGGAAGACATAGATAGTAATTTCCTAAATTTGTTACAAGAAATAACTTCAAGAAAATATTTAGTCAAAATAAATATTAACATAAATGATTTTATTATAGATGCAATTGCATTGTTTGACACAGGTGCCGATTTAAATTGTATAAAATCAGATATAATCCCTAAAAGATACTGGTTAAAAACCAATGAAAAGCTAAGTACAGCAAATAAATCTAAATTAGAAATTATTGGTAAAACAGATGCAATAATAGTAAATCAAGGCTTAGAAATAAATACAGTATTTTTACTATCACCTCAAATCAATTATATGGTAATATTAGGA